CTGGCTGTGTGTCTCTGCAGGAGAGGGTCTCTGTGGGAGCTCGGAGGGTTCGGGTGTGCGTCTGTACAGGAGCTGGCTGTGTGTCTCTGCAGCAGAGCACATCTGCCTGTGTAACGATTTCTTAGTTTGTGCGCTAAGCTTGGCCGTGTGTGACTCTCAGTGTTCTCAGAGAGCAGACAGCTGTGCCCCAGCCATTAGTCTCTCAGTGGGCTTTGAATACCTGGGCTTCAGCATGGGGTCCCCGTGTGAGGATGTGGGGAGCAGTGTATACTAACATGTACTTTCTGTGTGTTTGTACACACATGCGTATGTGTGCACAACCAGGTTCTCAGTGGCACAAAAGAGCAGGGGCGGTGTGGGCATGTGTGCTATGCACAATTTTCTGTTTCTACACACGTGCATATGTGTGCACACCCAGGCTCTCAGTGGCATGGGAGAGAGGGGGAGTGTGGGCACTTGTGCCATGTGCACTTTCTGTGTGTACACACGTGCATATGTGTGTACACCCAGGCTCTCAGTGGCACGGGAGAGAGGAGCTGTGTGGGTATGTGTCCTATGTGCACTTTCTGTGTGTTTGTACATATGTGCATACATGTGCACACCCAGGCTCTCAGTGGCATGGGAAAGAAGAGTTGTGTAAGCATGTGTAATACATGCATACCCAAGCTCTCAGTGGCACTCAAGAGAGGAAGTGTGTGAGCATGCTTACTATAAGCACTGTGTGTTTGTACACACATGCATATGTGTGCACACTCGGGCTCTCAGTGGCACAGAAGAGAGGGGGTATGTGGGCTCGTGTGCTATGTGCACTTTGTGTGTTTGTACACATGTGTGTACGTGTGACACCCAGGGTCTCAGTGGCATGTGGCCGGCCCTCCTGAGGGCCAGGGATGACCACTCCCCACAGAGGCAGCAATAAGACAGGAGGGAGGCAGGCATGCAGTGCAGACAAGGAGGGACACACACACAGGCAGAGCTGTGCACAGAACAAGCCCACACACTCCGAACCCCGCATGCACCCACACACAGTTGCGCAGGAACACAGGAGTCACACACACACATGCTTCACAGCACACATCCAGCCCAACCGCGCTCACTTTTGAAGATCCAATGAGATGCTCACACAGATGCACTCCTCAGCACACATGAGGCACACACCTGTGAACACAAACAGGGCCACTCTGGGAAGAAGGGATAGAGAACATGCGACTCATGTAAACCACTGTGTCTGCACGCACATGTGGCCAGGAAGACAAGCAACAAATTCTCCAAAGGGGACTCTGTGGCCATGCCCACCAGCCAGTAAGAACCAGTCAGCCCCTGCTGTGAGAAAGGCCTCATAGAAATGCTGCCCTTTCACAACGGGCCACAGCACCCCCAACACACACATCTTCCTGTGCCACACAAGACAACCACACACATGCTCGCCCATCACAGGCACAACTATAGTCATGCCAACAGCCATATTTGCACAGAACCGCACTCCCCAGACATTGCCCTTAAAGTCCAACAGTTCCTTGCCGTAAACATTCACTTTAGAGAAGCCAGAGAAGCTAGAGCCAGGGGACTGAGCAAGACCTAACAGAGGGACTCCTGCTCCAGAGTTCCTGGGGGAGAGCTGGGTGCAGCCCCTCACATCCTCAGCAGCACCCAAGACAGATGCGTTTGTTCCCTGGGGATGGGGCACAGGTCCCTAAAGACAGCAAGCAGCCACTGTGGGCTCCAGTCTACGCCAGTAAAAGCAGAGTCTACAGGATAATGCAGAAACATCTCTGGAATCACAGCTTTGGGTGGGGAAAACCAAGAGAGATTGGGCTTCTTTTCAGCTTCCCGCATTTTCCAGGTTTCACTTAATTAGCATATATTATGTATAATGAAAAAGCTTATTTCAAGAAAACTGATATGACATCTTCAAGCTAGGGAGAACGTTCCATATTACATTAACCTATGAATGATGACACAGTGAAGTACTGTTGAGAATAGGGTCTGACTACATGCAAATACTTAAGATTTCTATCTCTTGTGCCCTAAGGCAGAGTCTTTGCTAGTCCTGGGTAACACCCATTTGTTCAAAAAATATGTACAAATTGTGCCAGGCCCTGACCAAAGCCCAGAAAACACAAAATGACCAAGATCTGTCCCTGCTCTCAATAACCCTTCTAGGGGCCAGCAGAAGACATAAAAGAAAGTGTGTTTCCTTCCAGCGCAGCTGCTGTATTTGCCACACGGGGCAACAAAAGTGGCGTGAAGCTACAGCACAAGCTGATGGAGGCCCTAATGGCTGTCACCCCTGGCCCTCATGCACATCACACAGCCTGGAGATTCCTCAACTGAAAACAGAGCACAGTCAACTGAACCTCACAAGGTGGTGTGGGATTCAATGAGACAGCACAGGGCCAAGCTCAGTGGGGCTCAACCAGCTGACAGACATCAGGGCAGACAGGGTGACATGGGTTATGGACAAGCCTGGGCTGGTGATACAGCCAGTCCTCAGGCAGAGGGCAGTTGAGTGCACCAAGCAGTGCTGAGAATGTGGAGATTCAAGCATGGCTTTGTCTCCTCCCCACCAGGCCCCAGGCCCTAAACCCACCCTAAACCAACAGCAGAGGCCAGTGGGTCCCGAACGCAAGTGAATCCTTGGTGCCTGCTGGGCACCCAGAAGGAAAAGTCAACAAAGGTCCAGGGATCCAAGTACAGCAACAAACAACTCAAAATAAAACCAAACTAAAAGAGAGAGAACAAAACTTTTAGAGAAAAAATAAAATTATCTTCTGAAACCACTCAGCAGATGAAAAAAAGGGGAGTTTAGTCAAGCACAAGCAGCATCTCCAACGTGGAGGAGAACATGAGCTCAAGGAAGAGGGCGTGGACTGACAGGAGCAGAGCAAGTGATGCCAGGTGAAACAGGAGGGGCTCCAGAAGCAGGAGATCAAGAAAAGGAGACAGAATAATGAGACAAATGGAGGGAAGTACTCCACGCCAGAGGGGGCCCTGAGCCTACAGTTTGAGGGGCAGAGAGAGAGCAAGTCACTGACAAAGGAAAAGCATCCGAGTGTCCAGTGCCTCATCTGCAACAGGAAACGAGAGAGAGAGAGAGAGACAGAGGCAGAGATTGCAGCACGCACAGCAGCCTGGATCTCGCTCCTCAGTGGGGAACAAGGAAGGGCACCTGAGCGTACACAGAACTTGAAGGGTCAGCCACCACCCACACCCCCATTCATTTCAGGGGAGAGCAGCCGAGTGACAGGACAGAGTTAAAATGGGGGAGATAGTCCTGCAGTGAGCAAGGACTGAAGAGAGAAGAGAAGAGAAGAGAAGAGAAGAGAAGAGAAGAGAAGAGAAGAGAAGAGAAGAGAAGAGAAGATGCCAAGGTAAACCCAGGTGAGTGAGGATAGGGCTCTGAGAGCGTGCAACAGGAGTGACAGCTGAGGGCCCCTGGGCATAGGGGAGTCTCTGGGGGCAGCCTGAAGGGACTGGCGACAGTCAAGAATGAAAAGTGAATACCCTCAAACCAGGATGCAGAGGCAGGGCAAGTACTGGAAAGGCTGTGACTTACTGGGTATGGGTGGAGGCAGAATAAAGGGAAATGAGCAATTTAGTGATGGAACTAGTACATCTTGGTAGTAAAGATGCTAAAGAAACAAAAACAGTAAAGAGGAATGTTGACAATTATGAGAGCAGGGAAAGGAAGGTAACCTTTTGTGGAACAGAAGAATTAGAGAGTAGAAATAAGCAAGGGAGGAGAGGGGCAATAAATAGCAACTTGATTAAAGCAACAAAACTTGGGA